TTTCCAGGAATATATACTGTATATTAAACGTAGATCCCCAAAAAGGTGGATCGTCCTGGGTTTAGAATTGCGCGTTTCAAATTTTTAATATATTATAAAAATATGTTTCTCAATTTTGAAAACAATGAACAAATTTCCTTGTAATAGGGATTGTTTTTTTTTATATACATAATAAAAGATGTTTGATTGGAAGGAGAAAAAAAAAAATCGTTGTTTTACTATCAATCTGTTTCAAAGAACCGAAATAAAATAAAATAAAATAAAAAAAAAAACCAAAAAAAATCCTACTTGATCGATTTTTTTGGGATCAATTACATCTAACACAAATTTATTTTTTTTTTTTTCAAAAAAAAAAAAACGGAATAAATAATTTACTCTAGATTAGGTAGATTGCTCGCGCATCACGACAGGATATTCAGGGAAGGAAAATTTTTTTCAACATTGTCGACAAATTATATCAATAAAATGTTATTATTATTTTTTTTTTTTTTGATAAATTTAACGTCCGGAAATTAATCCTAAATGGCGATAAACGAATCAATCGGAGCTTTTAATAATGTCATTACTTTAAAAGAGGAATAAAAGGGCAACGGGTTTTTAAGACGCAAATCAATATTTGACAATATTAGTAAGATCGTTTAAAGATTGTTCGTTAGGTAAATATCGAAATACATACTAAAGAATGAGAACGAATTGATTGGTTCCGTTAAGAACTTTATTTTATTATCGGGACTAATTTACAGGATTGAAGCGGGTTTCCCGTGTTGACATTTCTTTATCGGGGACCGCACGAAATTTAATTTGTACCAAATTAGGGTTTTTTAATATGATAAAATTTTAGACTTGAACATTTCAAAAGCTTGTATTATTCCGAACCTATTTTTATCGATAATAAACATTGGAAACAAACCCTTCATGGTATAGATAAACAAGTTTTTTTTATTTTTTTCCCGAAATGATAGAAAAACATTTCTAAAATTAACAATATCCTCTCCCGCTCAAATTCACGTTTAAGGAATCCAAACAAATTTCGCCACATCTCGAAAAGTGTTTACATAATGTAAATAATGTACATATTTTGCTAACTTAACGGAACAAAACATTCCAATCTTGAAACAAATTCTAATTATAGTTTTTTTTTTTATCTTACTTTACTTTATTTTTGTTTTATTTTTTATTTTATGCTAAACACCCCCGGAAAACGTATTTTAGATATAGGTGTTTTAGGTAAAATATACGAAGAACAAAGGGGTCAATGACAAAGAGAAATTAATATTGTGCGGTCTAATAGGTATGATTTTCATTTAGATTACCGATGTGCGATTATGATATGTGATGACGTAACAAACACGACGTTACGCTCACGTGACACAGAATCCGATCGATCATTTTATATTTATATTTTATTTATATACATTCACATACAGTTATTTATTATTTATCCGAATAATATATTAAGTAATGATTGATTTATTTATTTATTTTTTAAGGGTAGATAATAATATGTAACATTTTTTCTTTTTATGTATCGTATTATTTGATGTTTTTATTTATTTATTTTATTTTTTTCATTCAAATTATTTCGAAACATATCTTATTAAACTTTGTTCCTCCCAACGTGGTGGTTGAACTTTTTTTAGAGGCCAATCAGGGTAATATGGGTAGAAGATCGATAAACATTCCTGTATAGTTTAAAAATAAAAATAACTTGTATAAAATCTATCAGGCAACAAACAAATCGAAAGTCTATTTTTAAAATGAAACGGTGACCCTAAATTTGTCTAGTTGAACGATCTTTTTTTTTTTTTTTTATATTTATTTTTAGAATTGCGGTGGCGAATTGCGAACAACCTTTTCAGATTGCATCAATCTTACAAAGAAAATAATATTAAATTATATCTATAAAAAAAAAAAAATTTGTTTATTTTAATTCTTTAAATTCTTTAATTAATCTTTTACTCAAATTTAATATCAAACTGTTAACGACAAAGCATAAAAAGTTTCATCATGTTCTTTCACGTTCTGAAGGTTGCTCCTCAGCAAGATGATGGTCAACCCACAATAATTTTCCATAAAGAATAAACAATAGCAATTTCCATATTAATGATTTCATGCTAGTGAAAACTTTTTACCATTCATTATGCAAGATAAATTTAAAAAAAAAAAATTGCGACGTACGAGTGAATTACAAAGAAAACTTTCTTACCAGGTCAGTGGCAGCCAGGATTTGTAATACATTATTTTCGGGTTCCATACAGCATTGTTCCTAAATGTAAGTTAATTTGTTTCTGATTGTGCCTAAATATGTCCGTGTTGGATGCCAAATTTAATCTACAAGGGAATAAATCTGTGTAATGTAACACACACGCTTGACGGTTCAATGATTTACCCTCCGGAGAACTGCGTCGATCCACCATCGATTTTCGTTGTCGGACCTTTAAAAAGTCATAATAAAGTCATAATGATTCATATAACTGGTCAAGGTTCCGCTTTCATTTCTTTTTGTCGTTACAATTATTTAGCGTAAACCGTTTTCCCGTGAAACATTTTTTTTTTTTGTTTTTGTAATTTTTTGTATTTTTTAAGAATGAATTGTGAACTTTTTGGTTGATTTTAATGCATCCAATATATTCTTTTGTTCCATTAAAACGTTACGTTTGTTTTAAAAGCGCCCTAACTACATTATTATGATTTACACGTATCTATGAAACCAGCTTACGTAATTGTTGTGCGATTTAACGAACAGCGGACCTGGTTCCCATTTACATATTTACGCGCGAAAAACATAATAATATCCCGGTGAATCTTATTCATTTTGAATTGATGACAATATTTACATAAAAGATAACCATTATTTCTTGAAGAGTTTTTCTTTATAATATTGCCTTTAATGGCTTTAATGATTAATGAATTTTATTATTATGCTATGCAAAATGCTACTCTCTGATGATCCATTCAAAACAATGAACATTATGAATTAAAAAAAAAAAATAATCGATTAATAATCCCAATCCTATTAAGACCCATTCCATTTATCTATCCTTCACTTCGGGGAATCTTGCCAGAAAAGTACTCTTTGGGAATAAATGGTTGAGAAAGAACCACCGATCGCTTATATAAATTGCACAATTACATATATAGAAACTCGGAAACTTTTAGTAGACAGCAATAAAGTACAATCCTAACGAACCCTTTGTACCTACCAATTTCTATGCGTTATGAACCATCAATACTATCGATTAAATTTCATAAATTATTAATGACATGATTAGGTCAACGAAATCCCAAAGTCGAATCCCATGGAAAACTTTTCAATCGGGTTGATTCAGCGAAAATCATCGACCAGAGAAGAGGCGGATTTGAACTTTCATTGTAAGTAATGACATTACCAATAACCTTTCAGAATAAAAACTGATGCCGTTTTGGAAGAATCCTCGGGCGTTACAAGGTGAGTGAACTAAAACACCTTAACGATATAACATTTTCCCCTCAGGTTTTAAAAATTCAAATTTAATTGCTGGGTTATTTTTACTTTGATTAGTAATGCATTTTTTATACTCGATCATTTGACGTTATTGATGGAAAGAAAAACAACAAGTATATATAGCATTATTATATAATATGAGATTATGCTGATCGGCATTTCTTAAAAAAAAAAAAAAAAAAAAGTGTGTTCCAAGTCAAATAAAGTTTCTAAGCGATTCCGTCTTCAATGAAGGAACCCATACTTGCTGAATTTGAAAAAGACATTTGCAAGGACATGGACGAGGACAATAGCGAAGTTTTAATACAAAAAGCACTTCCCGTTTCCGAAAAACCTTTACCACGTGATAGACCTCCTGCGACTGGAGAAGAATATTTGCGTATGGTGAGGTTAGAAGCTATAAAAAGGCCTACGGTTGTTAAGACTAAAAATCCAATAATTCAGTCTAAAGGAGTTAGAGTGGCGAAATGGGTTAAAAGAGGTTGGGAAAATCAAACAGAATATGATGATTTTGATCAAAATTCTAATAATTTTGTAAAAAAAGAATGGGAAAATAGATTTTTAACGAGATTTGATTTAATCAGAAAGGTACGTTCTTTATTAATTAATTTTAATTTTTTTTTTTTTTAATATTATATATATATAATTTAAAATTATTTCTTTTTTTTTTTTTTTTTAATTTTAATCGGTCGCGTTAACGCAAGGGATTAGAAAAACGACGGAAAATATTTGGATCGTCACGAAATAAATCACCAATCAAGCTACCAGCGCGAAATGATGAAGATGGATGGCTTAAATTTTGCTATGGAGTAAATTCGACACATGAATCGTTGAATTTGGCAGGATTAGAAAATGAAGGTGATATAGATGAGATGACTTTGCCGCTTGTTAGTGTCGTGTCAAAAATAGACCAGGTATGAAAAAAAGAGATAACACTTTTCTTTTTTATTACTGAAGTTAAAATCATTTACATTTACAGATTTAAATTCAACGTTGCATAGGTTACAACAATCACGCTGCTTTCATATCATCAAAAATGGATTTCTAATGGGATCACAATTGCACAATCCCAATGGCTCTTCGCGTTGCTTGCACGTATTGACAACCTCTTGATGCCTAATCAGATGGCAATTTTGAGGCAATTGAGTGAGAAGTGCATTCAACTTCGGCAATTGGTAACGAATTCTTATTTACCAAATGTTTTAATTAAAAAAAAAGACGAGGATTTTATGCTTATATATATTTCTGACTTTTATTTAATAGGCAGATGAGGAAGACCTTCTTATGTTGGCTTCCTTGAATATAATTATTACTATTGTAAGAAAATATTTTGGTCAGAAAGATTTAAGGTAACACTATATGTTAACTTTCTCGAGGAATATTAATATACATATACATATACATATATAATATTCAGAATAAAAAAAAATCTATTCATTAAAAGTACAATTAATTCTTTGAAATATATTATACACTTTAAATATAATTTGGAGGAATGGATCAATTTCATCATTCATCATTCAGCATTCTCCTCTCTCTCCTGTATTAAGTTTGTCGGAATATTATTTACTTCTGTATGCTAATAATAAAAATGATTCTCGAGTTATTATAATTTGATGTCGCGTAATTAAAAAAAAGAAGTTTAATGGTATCATACCTGTTCATACATGTTATCTTTTAATATGATCCAATCATCCCTCACACATATTTTAATCTATATAATTTAAAGGACAAAAAAAAAAAATTGAATTTCCACTTACAATTTCGAAAATTAAATCAAAGTAATTATCTTACCTTCAATTCAAAAATTGCACTCACAGGCTTATGATCACTTAATGCAATTTTCATATGACTTTTATATCGGAGTAATTTACACCATTCATTATCCTGACTTCTCCATAATATTCTATCCGTCCATGCAGGAGTTCTTTTCTTTTCGCTAAGTAGAATTGTTTTATCATCAACTTTTAGTGGTATAAATCAAAAACATTAAAAAATTGATTTAAAGAGTTACATTAATAATTACCTAGTGTCCCATTCATTTGTTCCAAAATCATACTTATAAGTAGGAAGAAAGGTGATTTCTCCTTCTTCAAATCCATTAAATGCTTGTTTTTTATCTCTTTGGATGTTCAGCTAAAAAAAAAAAAAAAAAAGGATTAAAACCTAATGTTATTATAATGAAAAGACCATTTATGGAACATACCTGATCAAACTTCAATAATAATTTTGTCTTATTTCCTTCCAACATAGATTTTACCTCAGGTTCTGATAACATGTCTATTCGATAATTTAAATCTCCCATCCAAATCAAATGACTGATAATATGTCAATATCTTATAAGGTCATGTGGGATCATGTTAATAAAATAAAAATGACTTACTCGTTATCAAATATGGGCATAACCTGACCCGCACCTACTTTATTATCGTTAGGCGCTGTGCTTGTATTTCCACTAATACCTACCATCCCTCCCATACCAGCAACTGCATTTTTGGCATATGGGGGTATATAATCACCAACCCAACCATATAATGATGAATAACCTTCACTCATATTAATAGGAAAAGTGATTCGCTGACAGATATCCAAATAATCCTGATTCCTTCTTTCGAGTCCATTAGGATCAGCTGCTAAATGACAATTTACAAAGCATAGGTATGAATCATAAAATCGGAATCGAATAGCTACCCCACCTTTGTTACCCTAAATAAAAAAGTTATTCAATTAGTAAAGGACTTTCCATTCAAAAACTAAAAAAAAAAGAACTTGAGAAAGAAGGAAAGAGAGGGTCACACAAACAAAATTTGCGCATTTGAATGCCTCCCATATTGTGCTTGCCTATATTAATTCATACCATCATGCCCATTAACCCGACACCGACACAATCGGATTTGATCTCTTTAACGTATGGCGCATGTACTTTTTTCACTAAGACTATAAGAAGCATTCCGATCAGTTGTTTTGACATGATCTAAATCGAATATAAAAGTTTCACGATTAGTTTCCTCATGGGGTATTCTCCAAATTTTGAAATTTTAAAAAACAAACTATTTCAATCACTTTATAATAATCGAATAAAAATATCTTTGGTAGTAAGGTACTAAATGATAAGGAAAGACTCATGCATTACATGAAACATTAACTTTTAGCATCAATGCTACCAAATGCTTAGTTAAAGTGATATCAATCACCTCCAAGTGAATAAAATGTTTATAAAAAATTTATATACCTTCCAATAATTATCAGCTTTATCACCTAAAGCTTGCAAAACAGCGGTAGTCCAATTAGATTCTCTCGTACCATCATATACCAAATACGCTTCTACACTCAGATCTAATTCTTGAAATCTACAATTGTGATGAATTGATGATTAGTTTATTGACTAATTTAATCAAACCTATATGTAGTCCCTATAATTTACTTTATATTATACCTCGCTTATTTTTTTTTTTTTTATTTCGAAAAGTTTTCGTATAATTTGGTGTGAAAATAACAGGGGCATAAAAGCAAAATTTTGCTATATGATCACAAGGAAAATCGATCAATTGTGATTTTGATAATTGAATACATATAGGTTTGATTTAATTAGTCTCATCAAATTATTACAATTTATTCTAATTAAATCAAAAAAGCTCACCCAATGGCATAAATATCGATATCGTAATCACATTGGAGCCAAGGTGAAAGAGATTCTGTCACGTCTTGTCCGCTAACATTGAAGGTTCCAGAGAACACTCTAGTAAATGAGTAACGAGTAAATTTTAAAAAATCGAAATTCGCGAGAAACAGTATTAATAACTTTTAACATTACAAATTAAAACTTAAATATTTACCGTATAGTTTTCAGTTCTAAAATGTCCTGCTGTAATTTTATTTCTTGAGTTGTAGGATTTTCTATTGAATCACTCATTTATTCGGTTTTTTTTTTTTTTGAATAAAAAAAAAAAAAATGAACTTATTTGTTGCGTTTTATCTCTGTATCACTTACCTTTCCAATTACGTCTTTCGTTATAGATAATAATTGTGTCATTGTTTTTTTTCCAGCCAATACCAGTATTAAATAGGGATCTGTATGTTAATCTTTCGAAAAATGATTTTATTAACATTAAATTACAAGGCTTTCGATAGTTTTTTTTTTTTTTTTTTTAGCAATTGTTCTTATTGAATTGTGCCTAATCAACAATATATATTATAAGAAATTTTAAGTACCGCTAAATATTAATGGAAAAAAAAAAAAATTTTTTAAAAATTATTTGTACAAATAATTTACAAAGAGAAATAATACAAAAAGAAATAAATATACGTAAAACAAAAGGAAAAAAACAAAAGATCAATCCTTAGTTATAAAGAGATGACAACTAAATTATTACAAAATTTTAAGCTAATCATCCCTCAAGTTATCTGGATTAGTAACGCGTAAGGGCGATTTCGGAACAATCATAAAGTTTGTTTGTTGAATGTCAATACCCATCATATTTTCTTCTAATGCTGCAGAATAATCTTTATCATGAGAACTACTCTCTATAGGCACAGCAAGGCCGCTGCCCATGCTTGGCCGAGGTAATTCTTCAGCAGTGGAACCTGAAGGAACGCCAAATGTTTTTGTTTTTTGATTTAATGTTGGTTTCTTTGCGCACCAAAAGATATTAAATTTATTTGGTTTTTCTTGATTTGAGGTTTGTTCTTTTATGCTCGGATAAGGTGCTGCATAAAAGGAACCTTGCCTTTTTTTACGATGAAACCAAAATAAACCGCCTACCAACAAAAGAAATAATATCGTTCCTATCGTTGAGCCAACTATTATCCCGGTTTTTGAAGCTTTTACTTTTTGTATCGGATCATCGTTAAGAGGGTACTTTGTTTGGGTAAAATCCAAATTTTCTGGGGAATAACTTTCTTTCCACGTATAAGTGATCGTATCTAATGAAACGACGTCAAATCCATTCTCTATTTAGTCACAATGCTAAATTCAACCAAAATAATAATGATAATACAAAAAAAAAATAATCCATTACCAAGGACATAAATATTATTATCTGGAGTATCATTCGCTAAAAAACCTATTAAATATTAACGAAAGAAACAAACAATAAAGTATAAATGAAATATTCAAGTGAACTTAAAATACGCGAGAGAATTTAAAAGCGAACATACCAAACGCAACCAGCATATTAGTTCCAATCATCGTAGCAGTGTGAGAATATCTTCCTGGTGGTATAGTGCCCTTTGCTTTAACCACGTTCCAAGTGTAATTTGGTTGTGTGGTTGTATCCAAAACCGCGATATCATCAAATAATCCAAGATAATCTTGATTCACACCACCATGTATGATTACCTTACCATCATGTGCTACAAATTAAAAAAAGATACTTTCTTAAGTTGAACCTAATATGAATATTATTCACTAGATTTTAACTACCTACTTCCTACTGCGGCATGATCTCGACGTGCCGAAGGCAAAGTGCCAACTGCAGTCTTAAAGTAAAAAATTTTAAGGTTCAATTATAAAGAATTTTTTTTTTAAAAAAAAAATCATTTTCTTAAAATTTACGATACCTGAACACTCCATATTTCTTTTATTGTATCATAAACGTAAATTTGACTTATGTCTACTAATTTGTCCTTGGAATACCCTCCAATCACATACATATTACCATCCGGAAGAATTGTTGCCGTGTGATGAAATCTTCCTGATGGCGTATTTGGATCTACACTTTGGATATTCCAGAAATTTATCCTGGTATCCAACTTGAATAAATCTTGAAATTGAACTAATGCTGAAACCGTGATGTCGGACACATCAGGTATGCCACCAAAAAAATAATTCATGGAATCATTTAATCTTGTAACAGCAGTGTGTTCTTTCCGTGGTGTCCCTAAACTTAAGTTGGCTTTATACCATTCAGGTGATTCCTCCAAAGTATTGTAATAAAATAATGGATTTTCGGGTACAGGTTCATTAGGTGTATTTAGATATTCGCCACCATATAACACTAAGAGTTCATTTTGTGATCCACCTATACTAATTGTATGGTACGCAACTTTTGGGCCAACAGAATGTGTTGCCCACGCTGGATCTGATATTGCGAAAGATTTTGAAACATCGAGAATAAGGAGTTGATTTGTATACTCGAGATCATTTTTCGATCCCGCTTTTCCCCCATGAATATATAATCTATAGTAAATTGAATTAAAAGGAGTAACATCAGATCAATCTTTTATTCAATGGAAAACCTGGTTAAAATTCAAAAAATTCAAAAATAAAAAAACCTTTACAGAATGAATATCAATTGATAAGTGAATTTTTTCTGTTATCATTTTGTTTCTATGTAATACCTACTTGTTATTTAAAAGTACAGCGCTATGTCCCCATCGGGGTTCCGGTAACATAGCCTTCACACTTTGTATCGAAACGATGCCTAAGGATTCTATTGTAAATATAGTTAGAGTACCGGCAAGCTTATTCTCGAACAGCTTGAATAATGCCATTACTTTTACGGTACGTCTTCGAAAAGTAGAAATAACCAAATTTCATGAACACCGTGAATATTTTTATTATTTTATAGCAAAATATATAAGGTCAAAAGACAAAAAGAATAAGGGGTAAAATGTAGTGGTTGGCATATCGATTAAGGTATACGAAAACAAATTACCAACGAAATATAAATAGCAATAAGATCTTCTAATCGTGGAACAAACTTGATTAGATGTGATTTAAAGAAATTTCATGATGACGATTTCATGCATTAGAATTTCTCTATTACGTTATCGATGATCGACAAATAAGAAAAAAAAGTGTTCGTGTGAACAAACATTAGATATGTCCCCCTATGTAAAATACCCCCTAAGGTTTTTTGGGTGGTTTACATAGGGGTGTTTTGTTTTTTAATCATAAAACTATATTAATATATCGTTATGATTTATTTATCAAATACAAAATTTTATTCAATTTAAAATTTCAAAAAATCAGACTTTGTTATTTATTGTTATTTATTCAAACATTAGCAAAATTAATTTCAATTATTATAATCCTCCTCTTGAAATTCCTTATCTTCAATTAGCTCATCATTTTCTTTATTTGCCATAAGACTATCATAATCAAAAATTATGTCATCTTCAGAACCATCAGTTTTAACTGAAATGCCACCTATGATACTCTGGATTGGTTATCTCAGTAATATTCAAATTACCCAAAGGTTGTCTGATAGTTGATCCATGAATCTTTTCTACTCCTAATCCAGTACTGTGCCGGTATCTAATGATGCTAGGCGAAATCGAAATATTTCATCATATGAAATACTTTCGTTATTACAATTTAAATTTTGAAATTCCAAAATGTTTTGTCATATGACGAAATCAAGATACTTTCGTAAATTTCAAAATTTTATCACATGATGAAATCAAAAAATCATACACACACTTTATATTGAAATGTGACTATAAAAAATCCCTCTATATAGTCAACTTACTATTAAAATTACATGAATTGTGATTGTACAGAAATTTCTAATTTTATGAATACCATGTTACTAAATTACCAATTGGAAAATTACTTTAATGCTGTTTGTTACTATTCTTTTTATTTAGCAGATTACAATATTCAATGATTTCTATTTATTTATTTAAGTCTTTATAATGTTAATGTATGCTTGCTCTTGGTCAGGTATAGATTAGCCTATAACTGTTGATCCTAAATATTATGTAGAGGTGAAAAGGAAAAAAATTTTTTTTTTAACAAAAAATCAGAAAAAAAATATAAAAAAAACTGAATGTTTAAGAAGAAAAATGGAAAAAGAAAAAGGAATGATAATAGTTGGAGATAGAATATTAATAATTAGAATGAGGGATTTTTGATATATAATGGTGTTTCAATATTAGATGGTAATGATGGTGAGGTAGATCTTTTTAGTGATATAAATTTTTGTAGAGAAGGAGGATTAAAAAATGAGAAGTATTTAAATTTTCTAGTAAAGTAAATATTAAAATTTAGTTTAAAATAAGTTTAAAATATTTGAAGCTTAAAATAACAAAACTTACGTTAATCTAATTCGGCTTATCTTTAATAAATTAAAAAATAAAAAGTTTGAATATAATTAAATTTTAATATAAATATCAAACAGATGTATTGTTAAATACTTACTAGATTTTTTTTAAAATAGAGTTATAAATTATTTTTTATAAGTCTTGCCAATTTTACTTTACTTTTCTTTAGGTTTTTCTTTTGCATAGAGTTCAATTAAATAAAAAATTTATTATTTATAAATTTTATTTTATACAATTACTAAATATTATAAGCTTTCTTAATTAAGATTTTACTTATTTTACAATCTTTAATTTTTTCTTTAAACTTTGCTTGATACTGCAAAAGCATAACTTCTATACTAAATTCATCTTTAGTTATTTACAACTTCTTTCAAAAAGGTAATTTAGATCTTTTAAGCATATTCTAATATTTAAAATTTCTACTTTTTTTCTATTTATCAAAAGTTAAATTTCATATTACTTTAATTGATTGTGTTTAGCATTTTTGAAAATGAAAATTATAAAATAAATTTTTAATAATTAAAGAAAAAAAAAAAAAAATACTTTTATATAAAATTATATCGATATATGTCAGAGATTTGAAATATTTTACATGTAATAAGTAATTCTATTTAGTCAAAATTATTTAGTAATTATAAATTGTAATTGTAATTTTATTTTTACATGTTATGTATAATTTAATTTACAAAATTATTTAATAATTACAATTTCGATAAATTATTAAATTTTTACATGATTTCAAATTTTTTATTTCAAAAGAAAATACAATTTTCAATGATAATATTTTGATAATTAACACTAATTTATCTTTAATTATTTATAATTTTATCACTAATTAAATTTTCTGGATAATTAACAATTTTTTAACTAAAATTTTGCAAATACAATCCAATTTTATTATTTTAAAAATTTATATTTAATTAAAATTTGAATTTTTTTTATTTTTATTAAAAATTAAATAAATTAATATTAAAATTAATACTATTAAATATTATTTAAAATAAATAATATTAAATTATTATATTTAAATGTAAAAAGTTAGATTCTTTATTAACATTTACTAAAAGTTTGCAATTGTATTATATAGAAGTTGTTATTATCTAATAATAATTAGCTACATTTTTGTAATATGTTTAATGAAGATCTAATTTAAAGTTTAAAATTATAATACACAAAAGTTATTATTATTCAATAATAATTAATCACATTTTTGTAATATGTTTAATGAAAGATTTGATTTAAAATTCAAAATCGCAATATACAGAATTGTTATTATTCAATAATAATTAGCAATTTTTTTTTATAATACAGTCAACTCTTTCTACAACGAATTTTGATATAACAAATTTTACAATACAACGGATTTTCATTATCAGACAGATTTTTAAATATAAAAAAACCCTTACTATACCGAATTTAGTAATTAAAAATTCATACTACGTTTAACGA